CATTTTTTCTTTCTCTCTATGAAATGATTTCAGAGTCCAAGCTTCAGCTGGAAAAACAGAGAGCACTGTCACACTGATTTTGCTTAGTTGTTAAGTGCCTGAGGATTAAAGCACTTCCATGGAAGACTGGGGTCTAAGTGTTTTCAGGGTCTTAGACTAAACTCCTGTACTCTCTCCAAGTGGAATGAAAAGTGCACAGTAACCTCATCTTTTTTCCTAGATGCATAATATTTATCTGTTATGTAAAGTGCCTCCTTTCAATGAGCTTTATGCTGAACTCTGTGCTCCCCGTGCAGGATAGGTACGTCCTGAGCCAATTAACTGACCTCAAATTCTTCAGGGATTTCTGGTCATTCCCCAAATCCTTAAGATGCATGAAAACAAGTAGTTCAGCCCATCAATTCTGGCTAGATTTTAGTACACAAGTTCATATTTGTATGGAATATGTTTGAGGGTTTTTTTTTGTTTGTTTCTGAATTTTATCTTGAATATTTAAGCACCTATTAAAACACTCTTCAGCATTTGTTTCTTTAGATTTCAAATAGATTCTTTTAGATTTTTCTTTAGAGGCCATAATTTTATGAAGCAGGAGTAGCTATATGTCTGTATGTCTTTGTTATTTAATGGCATTTCATTGTAGGAGTGGTTTTAACACAAAATTAGAAAAAAATCCTTCATGCCCAGTAGTGCTTACAATTTTGGATTGAGTGGCAAATTAAATTTCTAAGGTATATTATATTTACTGTCATAAATCAGTGTATTCTGATGCACCAGCCAACCCTGGTGATTGATCTCAGCAGTTTAGATACTACTCCTGGGATGGGATGTTTTCTGGGAGTATGTCTCTCTTTTCATTAACTATAGAAGGATCCTGGCATAGCCTACTTGAATCAAATGTTTAAAATCATAGATGACTAATATCAAGTGAGACTACTGCCACCCCAGAAGCAGATGATTTGCATAAATCTTTCCCCTGAATGCTTTTCTTGCAGTGGTTCCGGGTTAGTAACTATCACATCTGACTCGCACAGACCATGTTTACACTTTTTAGTGCTTTAATTGTAGTGCAATGAGTAACTTTGTATCCAAGATTTTCATGCACAATTTACTTTGCTATTTTCTTCATTAACTTATTCCTTTCCTCGTTTCTCTCTGTCTCCAACTTCAGTACCAATCAGGAAAAGTCACTTGAAAACTAGGAATGTCCCAACAGCAGCATCAATTTAAAAATCACCTTTAACAATATATAAATATACCTGTGTGTGTTCTAAGTACGATGTTTTTTTCCCAGATTTTGCTTTGGCAGCTCAGCACAACTGTATAGTCCCCAATTAAACTACTCAGTTGCCAGGAATTTCTTTAGTATGCTGTGATTCACTAGAAAGTTGAGCACACCTCTTTTAGTTTTTGTTTACTGTCATGATTATACACCAACCTAGCTATTTTAGTTAGACCCTAAGGGCCTTCTCTAGGAATAAAAGACAAGATTTTGATGATAGGTACTGAAGGTGAATGTTTCCTAATTAACTTGCATTGAATGGTAGAGGAGATAAGGTAATGTTGCCAAGTGCTGACTTGACTTCCATAGGAAAGATCTCATGTAGTGTTATTAAACTTTGACCTTTGCTGTTTGTATCATTTGACCTGGAGAAGTAAATGCATAATGTTAATCCAGTCACAACACTTGGAGAAATCACAACATAATGACAAGCTGTGACATTTGTCCAAAGAAACTTTGTTAAGTAGAAGATTAATTTAAACAAAGAATGAGAAAAATATTATCAATAGATGTGAGCTAAAGACTAAAGTGTACTACAGAATTTAGCATTATAACATTACTATGGCTGATAGGCTATTATATATATGTGCTAAAGATTTTATCCACCTCTATCTTAGGCATTTACTGAATTAAATTTTATTGTTAAAAGCTAAAGAAAGTTCGCTTTATTTCACATACCATACTGTTTTAACTTATTAAAATTAATTTTGTGCACTGCAAACAATAATAACAAATGCTGCTTCAAATCCTCTGTTTATTTATGTAGGATTTCAGTCCTGACTGTCAGGGTTCTAAACTGCTCACACATGTGAGCATATGTGCATGTATATCTATATATATATTTATATGTGTCAATGCATAAAAAATATGGAAGGTATGATTTATCAGCTCTGTAGTCTGTACTTTGCTTTTTATAGAACAGGCGGCGCAACAGATCTCAGATGAAACATCACACATATAGACTGCTCTGTTGCCATGCATTATGTTTGTGTGCAAAGTAAAAGCATGTCGTAAAAAATGTTACTGGTAAATGAATTGTCAGTAAGTTTTTGAAGACTCTGGAACTTTTTGTGGCAGTACTTTCACTGATACAGAAATTAAAACTAGGTCTGTCACACTATTTCAAATATCACATATGCAACATTTTGGATGAAAAAAGACAAGTGACTGCTTGTAAAAAATGATCCAAACCTATCCTTCAAAGCCCCCTTATCTTTCAATATTCCAAGTATTGTTTACTCTTACTAATAAACATAGATACTTTGGTAGCTGCATAATGAAAATGTTCTATTATAATGTCCCAAACACTTCCCCAGATTTTTCTAGTAAATCCATTAATGTAATTATTTTTAAATTAATTAGTGTATAAAGGTTTGTAGCATTGAGGCAATTTGTGCTTAGAAATGCAGGAACTTCAAACTGAGCAGTGGTATACAAACAAAATTACTTCTCTTGTTTCTGAATGTCAGTGTTAAATTAAAGGAGATTTCTCATTAACTTCCCTAGTATTTTGTAGGAGTTTCATAAACTGTTAAGTTCTATACTATGTTGTGACTGATTAACTTTCATCATTTCTTATTCAGAGTCACTCTAGGCTTCTGTAAAAAGGACTGTATAAGCCTGTGAATGACCATGACTTAATTTAAATGCTAAAAATCCTATATAAAAATGTTTCCCCCTAGGCATTGAGGATCCTGCTGATGTTAGATCAGTGTTTCAGTGTTTCAGCTCATCTCTGTATTAACTGATGTCTTGAAGAATCATTCTCCCAGTCCCAAACTTTCCATATAAATTTTAAGCAGTCAGAACACCTTCAAAATTTGGGTAATCAGCTTCTTCATGGATATAGACTTTTAATAGCTACTCTCTAAACATTCTATGCTTTGCCATCTACAAACTGTAAAGTTCAGGAATTCATTAAATTTTTTATAAAAATCAAACTGACATAAAAAACCCCTACAAGAATAAAACTGTACTTGCTATAATAGCAAAGTCAGATAATGATTTCTATTTCAGCTTGCATTTGATATATGATCTGTTACTTTTACAAGAAGTGTTTTTTCAATCTGTTGTATTCATTAATGCTACATGATTACCCAAATGCACCACAGAGAAAACAAAGTCACCTCTGTCACAGGATTACAGGTGAGAAATTTCAGGCAGGCTGAGTATTTACGATGCAATTAGATGGGTGTCAACTTCCTGCCTTTAAGAGCTGCCTTTTGTATCCTTAACTAGAGAGAAATCTCTGTGCAGACAATAACCATCTATTTTGGCATCAGACTTTCAAAGAGTACTGTACTGTGTAATTCCTCACAGTAGTCTTTAGGAAACAGGATGGTGTCACAATAGATAGTTTATGGCCTTGTAGAGAGGACTAAAACAGCTTATCAGTATTCTTTTCACAGAGCTTAAAGTTGAGAGGTCAGTCTCCACACTTCATGCATAAATAAGGGCAATTGTACCAGGAAAGCTTTTTGCTACCACTCCTAGAAAAAGAGCTGCCACACCAATGCTAGGAACACTGAAGGAAAGGCTTGAGGCTGCAGATGTGGAGTACTGCATACAGTTCTGGTGTCCCCAAAATAAGAAGGACACAGAACTGCTGGAGCAAGCCCAGATGAGGGCCACAAAGCTGATAAGAGGACT